TCACATCATTTACCAAAGGAGCTGGTGGCTCGCCTTTGTCATTTTTTTTTCTTTCTTTTTTTTGTTAATTTTAATTTTATTTTGTATATAGTTTTGTTTGGATTATTATTATTATTATTATTATTATTATTATTATTATTATTATTATTATTATTATTATTATTATTATTATTATTATCATTATTATTATTGTTGTTGTTGTTGTTGTCGTTGTTGTTGTTGTTATTATTATTGTTGTTGTTGTTATTGTAATTTGATTATTTGACAAATTCGCCAAAATTTTAAGAAATTCGTCTGTTTAACATTTATATTTAATCAAAACACTAAAAATACTATTTAATAACTTAGCAATTTGCTCCAAACTACTAAAAACTAAAACAACTCATATACATTTTGGGTTACTATTTCTCAAACCCCCTAATAAATTAAAAAAAAATTAAAAAAAAAAAAACTAAAATAAGAAGCCATTAATATAAGATTTCTTAAATAAGAGCCTTTTGACACGTTGGGCTTCAATAGGTTGAAAAAGTTTACATGTAACAGGGTCAATCGAATAGTTATGCTGTGGAACTGTGTCTACATTGCAAGGTGGACATAGTTCTATGTTTATAATTACTGAACTATATGTTCATTATTATAAAGCTATATATTCATAAATTTTGAACTTCATATTCATAAGTATTGAACTCTATATTCATAATTACAGAACACTATGTTCATAGTTACTGAACTATATGTTCATAATTATAAAGATATATGCATAATTTTTTAACTTCATATTAACAATTATTGAATCTCTATATTCATAATTACATAACTATATGTTCATAATTATGTTCACAACACTATGTTCATAATTATAGAACTATATGTTTATAATTTTTGAACTATATATTCATAATTATGAACAATTTTTTGAACCGTGCCTACCTTGCAAGGTGGACACAGATCCACAGCATAATTTGTCAGGTCAATAGTACTAAAATAAAAAATAATAATAATAAAAACCTTTGGACTTCTCAATACTTGCCCACATTGATGGGCAAGCAATTATATGTTTGTAAATGTTCATCTTATATAGAGGAGCTTAAGAGCTCCTCTTTCCAAACATTTTCAATGTGGATATCAAAATGATCCCACATCATTTACAAAGGGGAGCCACCTTTGTCTTCTTCGTATTTTTTTTTTAATTTTAATTTTATTTTGTATATAGTTTTGTATGGATTATTGTTGTTGTTGTTGTTGTTATTATTATTATTATTATTATTATTGTTGTTGTTGTTGTTGTTATTGTTATTGTTTTATTTTAATTTTAATTTTATTTTATTATTATTACATTATTACATAGGATTTTTATTATTCTTGAACAATAATATTATCAATTATGTTATAGAATATAATACCATACATAATATTACCAATTATCCAAGATTACAAATTAATAGATTTTATTTAATTTCCATTTGACATTTACTTACCAAATAAGCTTTACTACAAAAGTTTGGGCGGGAAAATGAAATAGGATGATTTTGATTTTTTTTTTTTTTTTGAAAAGGGATGATTTTGTTTTTATATAATAATAATAATAATAATAATAATAATAATAATAATAATAATAATAAATAGATTAATTATTACCCTAATATTTAATTTATAATTCTGACTTCAAAATTTTTATTATTATTATTAACATTAACATTTGATTAGTTTTATAAAAAAATGTAAATTGTAAAATTTGTATGAATAAATTTAAACTCTAATCCGACGCATTTTCTTATATGATTGTATAATTCATTGTATATACATATAATATTTATTAATATGTATATAGGAAAGTTCAATAATATAATTTCATTAATTATAATTTATATTGATAGATTTATAATTACAAAATTACATTTAAAATTTTTAAAAAGTAGCATTTAAATTTTGCATGATTATTATAGTGCATAAGTGTATGTATGTATATTTTAAAAATTAGAAATATACATGTTTTGTTAATTTAATAATTTCATTTCTTTAAATATATTTCATATTTTATTAATTGTAATTTAATAAAATTTTCACAAATATTTCTATGGAAGAAATATTATATTTCTCAATTTCATTAATTATATTAATTATAATTAACAAATATTGTGGCAATTATCATAATAATTTCATTAATTATATTAATTATAATTACCAAATATTGTGACAATTACCATAATAATTCATTAATTATATTAATTATAATTACCAAATATTGTGGCAATTACCATAATAATTTCATTAATTATATTAATTATAATATTTGATCTAATCTCTTCCAATATTTAAATACATTACCATAATAATTACCCAAAAGAATGAAAGAAAAATTATAATCAGAATAATTACCTTTAATAAAAATAAGAAAATTATATTCAAAACTCTAATATTTAAATACATTACCATAATAATTACACAAAAGAATGAAAGAAAAATCATCAGAATAATTACCTTTAATAAAAAATAAGGAAATTATATTAAAAATTAATTATATATTAAGGTAAGTATAATTTATTTCATGTCAATAATATTATACATTAAATATAAAAATATATATGTATATAAATTGCCATAATAATTACACCGAAAAAGGTAACAATATATAATTATTAGGCAATAATATTAATAATTTTAATTTTTTTTTGAAAGTAATAATTTTAATTATTAAGTCAAGTATAATTTATGTTGTACTAATAATATTATACATTAAGTGTGTGTGTGTGTGTGTATATATATATATATATATATATATATATATATATATATATATATATATACACACACACACAAACACACACACACTTTTAATTTTATATTGATAACCATAGTCTATGTATATATTTTAAGAAAATATTCATTATTAAAAAGGGGGTATAATTTAAAAAGTAAATTGATTCCATGCTACTATATATAATTCATATATTTTAAAACTTTTTAAATCTAAATACATATTAATTGCCTTAATAATTAAGATAATTGTTAGTCAATCAATATTCAATAGTACTAAAAGTATTATTTTGAATTTTTATACATAAGATATAATATTATTAAACTTAAATAATTAAAAATAATGTGTCCATATTACAAAATAAATTATATTTGTCTTAATAATCATATTTTTAATACTACTGACTCTATTGTATTGTATTAATATAAATTTATAATAATCATTTATTAATATAAATTTACAATTATAAATTTGTATAAGGAAATCATAGAAACTTCTGGTAAAAAAAAAAGTTCTCCATTTCCTTTTTCTCTTTCCTCACTCTCACATTCCCACTCTCTTTAGAAAAAGACAAAGTAGGATGAGAAATGGCCTCTATCTACAACGTCTTCATCCCTCAATTCGATTTAACTTTTGCTTGATTGCTGTTTTGCCCAACGAACCACTTAAACCCTTAATGCTGCTAGTTAAAAAAAAAAAAAACATAGAAACTTGAATGACATGTACAAATCTCGAAGTCAACACACTAACTCTAAGTTTCATAAAATCTAACAAAATTATCAAAATCACCGTCGTTATCATCCTCGATCGCATCTCTACGCTCTTCCATAAAAACTAAACCATTAGGGTTTTGTTACCAAGCCTCTTCCTCCTCAATTTCTTTTTGTTGAACGCCATTCACAGTAGGCTAGAGGTCCTGCTTTTTAATCAGGTAACCACAACACAAAAAATCACAATAAATTGATGAAAACAACCAATCCAACATCTAGAGTGCAACACTTTGATCTCAAGGTATTTAAAGAAAAAAAAAATGTCAAAATCAAATAACATATACCCCAAATATACATACATTTACACCAGTAACTAAACATACATTTGGACACACTGTAACAACATATCATGATATATAAACCCCTAACAAATCGAAATAAAGATGAAAACGTGAACATAGTTTACACCAATCGGAATCATAATATTACCTTGAAATGAACTATGAGATCTGAGCCCCTAGCTTTGCAGATTGCATTCAGAAACAACCATATAAAACTTAGAAATCAAATGAAATCATGAACCGGAGAACAATATAGAATGCAAATGAAAGTATAATTTGCATTTATAGGTGGAAAATACTAATTCAAAAGGAAAGTATAATAATTTGTAATTAATGAAATAACATTATTATTATTATTATTATTATTATTATTATTATTATTATTATAATCATACTCTATAATCACTCTCCACTTAATAATGGTGTATGCAAGTGAGGTTTTACCTACAAAATTGACCTCGATTGCTAGCCAGGCCAGCTTCCTCGTGAGGCTTTTACATGAAACCATGTTGATTCTTCTTCTTCGTGACTAAATAATTCGACAGCGATATATATATATATATATATATATATATATATATATATATATATATATATACCAGGCGGAGTATTTACGTCCAAAAGAAAAACTTACCATGCATAATATATATTACCAATTATGCAATATTATCATTTAATAGATTTTAATTAATTTCCATTTTATATTTGCTTACCAAATAGGTTTTACTACAAAAGTTTGAGCGGGAAAATGAAATAGGAGGATTTTACTTTTATATATATATAGATTTGATGACTTGGTATTTACAAGTAATTTATTAAACTTTAAATTTTTTGTTATATTTTTCTTGATGTTTGTATATAATAAGAATATAATAGAGATTATAAAAATTATGGTGGGGAAGTTTGAATAAACCGAACACGTTTCAACTTTCAAGTAATTTAATTGTTATATTTTCAGAATAACATCAAACATGTTAATTAATTTTTCATGTAAAGTTATTCAATTAAATATATTCGTTGATAATAATTTTTATAAATTTAATTAATAGGAATGTACTAAATGACCTTTAAAATTTTTGACTTTTGAGACGGTATTACACAAGTCAGATTATTCGAATATACTTTTAAATTTTATCAAAAAATAAAATGAAGAAGCTATTTGATAAAAATTTAAAAAGCAGAAAACTGTAACTAAACAAAATCTTGTAAAGCGCTTCGCAGTTCGTACATCGACTCCTGTCTTCGTATTGAAAAAACAGGAACCGGCGACCGTCGTTTAGGAGAGTAATACACGAAGTCAGAACAGCGACGCCGTTAAAATTTCACTTCTCATAGAGACTGCCGCCGCGCGGAGCAGGTAACTTAATCAATAAGTCAGGCGGAAAAATGGTGAGTTCGAAGGACGATTCCGCCACCAATAGCGACAGTTCCGGCGACGACATACCGGAATCGAATTCCAGCGTTTACTCCGAAGGCGAGAGAGTCCTCGCCTATCACGGCCCTCGTATCTACGAAGCCAAGGCATGCCTTCCCTCACCCCCCCTTTTTGAAGGCAATAATTTGTAGTTTTTTTTTTTTTAACGAATTCCGAACAAGTATGAACTTATTTTGATCGATTTTAGCTTTATGCACATCGACAGATTAATATGAACATATATCCGTAGATTAGAGCGTTTCATGTATACTGTTTGCTTAATAAACTGTTATTGTTAAATCATCCGCGTGATTATGACGTATTAGTTGCAATTTTACACCTGTTTGTTCCACTGATTAAACAAGTGTTCTATTCTAGTACTCACCAAATGCACGCCCATATGAATGCCTGTTGTTTTCCTGGTTCCTCCTTTTGGAAAACGTGGGTTCTGGGATAGGATTTTTTAGTTTTGTATTTTTTGTAACTTGGAAATTCCTCAACTTATTATGAGTGCTGCTCCAAATGCCAGTGGTAACCTTAATAAGATTATCTTAACCCTTTGAACCCTACACAGGAAATGCTTTCTGATGACAACTGTTAGGTTAGATGTATTTTAGAATTCAAAGGCAATCTTAATCTATTTATGCACCGATTTCTGGCAATCAGTGTGTTGTGTGTACACTTTTGATCTATTTTGGTTTCTATCCAAATGCATCCTATATGCTTCTGTCTTGTGAAATATACACTATCTTCTATTGGTACCATGCTGATGTAGCTCATGCTTTTTTAATTCAAAGGTTCAAAAAGCGGAGCTCCGGAAGAAGGAAAGGAGATATTTTGTTCATTACTTGGTTAGTCTTGTTGAAGGAGTTTATGAATCAGTTTTTTTTTTTTTTTTTTTTTTTTTGCAAATTAGAACTTCTAAATGCAATATTTTCATAGCATTTCAGCCTTGCTTACTAGCTTATGTACATTATTTGTTTACTATGTTGCTGAGAAATATATCTATTTTCATTTGCAGGGTTGGAACAAGAAGTGAGTCAAATGTATCTCATGTGTTTCCTAGAATATTTTGACTTCAAGAATTTCAATGATTGTAATAGTAACAACTGGCCAACCATTTTGGTCCTACTTTTCAATGTCTCAAGGTTATGATTAATTGGAGTTCGTGCAAATGTACTATAAAAGTTAACTATTGAAGTTTAATCCTCTTGCAACAGTTGGGATGAATGGGTAGGCACAGATCGGTTAATGAAGCATACTGAGGAGAATGTCAAGAAGCAGCAGGCTCTGGACAAGAAACAGGGTGTAGAGAAGATTGCAAAATCAGGGCGTTCAGCTCAAACCAAACCTAAAAACTCTACTGGTATGTTATCTCATATTCAATTTTGATAAAAGTTTAAGCTTCTAACAATTCAAACAAAGATGAACTGCTGAACAACTGCCTAAATGTACATGTCATAAAGATCATTTGCTGTTAATTATCAATGTGCAAATATCAGAGTAAAAAAGATCATTTTCTAATTTGCCCGATAATTTAGAGAGCTGTTTCCTCATTACAAATTTAACATGTACTTGATATTGTTTTACTTGAATTTGATAGATCTGAAAGCAGATAAAGAGGACACAAAGCACAACGGTATGGTGTTTTCTTTCATATTGTTTTGACCTTTTTCTTGAGTTAGTAGTTGTCTTTTTTACAAATAAATACATTTCAAAAGAAGATAATTACCAGTTTACCACTGCTGAATTTCTTCTCTTCTTGCTTTCTTCTATTTTTTTTTTTTTTTTGGGTTAGAAAGTTCTTGTTTGGGAATGTGTATAACTTCTATATCTGGTTTCACAACACCTAAGTCTTCAATTTGCAGTTGCAAAAGGGAAAAAACGCAAGGCTGACTCTGGCACTGAGGTTTGCTTAATTTTTTTTTTTTATTGCTTTTTGAAGCTGAGGAAATAAGATCCCTCTTGTTTATATGCTTATAAATCACATCTACCTTTTTACATGCTTGTAAATCACCTCGATGCTATTATTTATGCAGTATTATATTACACTCAACTGACTACTGCACTTGGAAATAGACTGAATTGTGATTGAGTTATCAGTTTCTTTTCCTCTCATTTTTGGTCCTGATGGCTGTTACTGCAACCAAGTCTTCTTTGCTTCTATATTTATACTTGGATGTTTTGATCTTAGCTTTTAATCAGTAGGTGTTCTTGACATTTCAAACTTGTGGTTACATAGTTTATATGCTCTGCCAGTCAATTTAATGCACAATTCTTTTTCTGACCACTCCAACCCCCTCTTTTTCTCTTTCCTTCCCCAATGTTGCATTGTTGCCCAAGATATTGCCTGCCCTTTCATAAGAATTCATTTTTTTGACTGATTCCCCAATTTACTCTATTGCTACTTGTTAACCTTTCGTGTGGGGGTTTTTTTTTCATGAGCAGAAGGAAAATGCATCTGTTGAGAAACTCATCAAGATTCAAATTCCATCCACTTTGAAGAAGCACCTTGTTGATGATTGGGAATTTGTCACTCAACAAAATAAGGCATGTGAAGATTTTGTGTACTTCTCTTTTTATCTTTTTGCCCATGGCTGGGAGAAAATATAAGTATAGAAGGGTTACAGCAGTTATTAAAGATGTTGCCTTTGGTTTTAAATAAAACATAAATGAGTTACTTAATTGGCTCCTTTTGAAATTCATTTTCTTTGCTGGACATGGTAAGAATGGCTTCCTTAAAGAAGAAATTCCATTTTCAATTATGCCTGATCTTTTATTTCCACAATATTTATGTTCAAATGGACTTGAGCTTTTTATTTTGCTTGCAGCTTGTACATCTACCCCGATCACCCAATGTTGATGATATACTGACAAAATACCTTGAATACAGAGCAGAAAAGGATGGCATGTAAGTGTCTTGTGTATCTTAGAACATCCTATATTCACTGCTTTAATAAAATTGATTGATTTGTTTGTAGTTTGATTTGGTAAGAGCACCTTTTCTACCTAGCCCTGTCCCAGCAAGTGATGGTCTGTCTACTCATCAACCAAAAAAGAAATTTCTCTGATATGTTTACTAAACATAAGGAGCACTCTATATAGAAATTTAATTTTTACCCTAGAGCAAGGGTATTGGAGGCAAATAGTGCATTATTCTTTTTCCTCTAAAAAAGTTGGAATAGGCAGTTCAAACTCTGATTTGTCTTTTATGGTCAATGGATAGCCAAATTTTAGACCTCTAGAGGCCTGCAATTTATCCTGAATTCCCCAACTATGGACATTTCCCCATATAGTAAATTGTTAAATTCAGGCAAGGCTTTTCATAAGGGGTATAAACTCTTGGGCCATTGGGCCTTCTTTTTTTTGGCCAACAAAAAAGAATAGAGTGAGTAAACAATGTACTTTATGTGGCTTGATGCCCTTTTAGTTTTGTTCCTGGTAATTTGGTAAGAGTCTTTTCTTGATGCAAGTAGCTACAAATGCAGAAGAGCGGCCTTTCCTGTCAACACTACTTTTGTATTTTTTGTTGAAGTACTATGATTTTTAAGGTGGCGGTTTCATTTGGTGAACAACATCCTTAATATTCTTTGGGAGTTTGGGTACAGGATGACTGATACAGTTGGGGAAATTCTCAATGGAATACGCTGCTACTTTGACAAAGCCTTGCCGGTTCTGCTTTTGTATAAAAAGGAGCGCCAACAGTATCATGAAGCAGTTTCAGATAATGTCTCTCCATCAAGTGTATATGGTGCTGAACATCTTTTGCGTCTTTTTGGTATGCATTCTTTGCTTATATCTTGATTTGTTGGTTTTCTTTGGTATGCATGCTTAATGCTTTGGATTTTTTTGCTCTTCCAAAGTTGGGATGCGGAGTGTAGAGTATTCCTTATCATAATATATTTGGAAAATTTTGTTGTATGCTCATTGAGGATCTCAAGGAATTCTTCTATTACTAATTTTTTTTTTTTTTTTTTGTTCAAAACAATGAATAAAATGCTACAATTACAATTTCTTGAACCGATAAATATAATTACAATACCATTGTATCAGCACCCTCAAGTCAATGGGCACTAAACACCCACAAATATTGAGACAAATAACCTTGAGCCCAACATGGCAATGTTTCTCCCTTTAGCCAATAGCCAACAGCTCCTTGGATCTTTATATCATTATCATTATATTATTATTATAGAATATGAATGTTTAACAAAACATATAAATGATGCTGTTTGCAGTTAAGTTGCCTGAATTGCTTTCTTACGTGAAAATTGAAGAGGAGACATTGATCCGCTTGCAGCAGAAATTGTTGGATTTTCTAAAGTATGTTGCTGTTATTCCCCTCTCTACTTGCCTTTCATTATTGAAAACTGAATACCACCTATAACATGAATATTTTAAACTGTTATTGCAAAACTGAGGAGTTTTATTGCAGATTTGTGCAGAAAAATCAGGGTGCGTTTTTTGTTTCTACTTATGAAACTGCTAAAGCTTCTGATGGATCTGGCAAGGTGAAAGACAGTTGAACACCCAACACTATCTATCTGTTCATCCAAACATCGCTTACTTGAACATGCTACTGCCATTTTCTTTTTTCCTTTGCACTAGTATTCATCCGGGACACACATATGTATGGGTTAAGAGAGCCGCAGCTGCAGCTGCTTGGAGGAAGAGCCAATCCCTGTTTCCCTGTAACAATAGTGTTAACTGCTGTATAAATCTTAATGCTCTGTGCAAATTGAACTGTAGCTGCTGATTATATTGCCTGTATCATGAAAGTTTTGTACTATTGTTTTAACAGTCAATAACACATTCTATTCTTTTCTTATTTAGCTAAGCAAGCTTCACATACTGATTAAATTATCTCTTCCTAATTAAATTAAGGATAATTGCGGCCTTGAATGTTGTTAAACTCATTGTCACAATTAGCACGAAGCATGCTTTCCTATCAGCTTGGAGCATGCTGTTAGTAATACTCTAATTTATTGGGATAATGTATGTATCTGAGCGAATAAATGATGTGGTGCAGAAGATACAATTGAGTCTTTAACCGTAGGCCCCCCCTTCCATTAACTCCATCTGGTGCTGGAGTCGTGTGCCCGAAAACGAAATCTTTGTTTGTGGCAGTCATCAATCAACTGGTCTGAGAGAACGATTCCGTTTGTTCGAAAATTTGCAGTGTATTTCTCTGTAAACAAAATCAAATGCTTTCAGAGAAGCGGTGATTGCTCGCTCTGTTGAACAAATTTGTTGCTGTAATGGAAGCTTTGCGGTTTCAAGCTAGTTTCACTCAACTCGAGCTATCCGTTTACAAAACTCGGACTCGAAGACGACGACTCGCGGCGCACCGGAATCTTCAACTCTATCCCGCACGCTGCGCTGCCGCTTTCGTTTTAACGCCTCGAGCGGCTTATCTCCGCCGCTGCTACGTCAGCTCCTGCTCCGCTCACAATCACAATCACGGCCACGATCACAACCACGCCCACCGCCATCACCACCATGGAGACGATGAGAGTGATGATGAGCAGCTGACGAAACCGCAAGAGGTTCTTCTGAAATTCGCCGACGCGATCAGATGGTCCCACTTAGCAAATTTCTTGCGGGAGCATCTCGAGCTCTGTTGCAGCTCCGCGGCTTTGTTCATTGCTGCCGCGGCTTGCCCCTACGTGCTGCCCAAGCCGGCTGTGAAGCCTCTCCAGCGTGCCTTCGCTGTCATTGCCTTCCCTCTCGTCGGGGTATCTCTATTTTATCATTTTTAATTTTTGGTTTCAGCATTTCATTCTTCCAACTGTGTATTTTATCAGGCAGCAGGTTAAATAGATATTATGTTTTGCACTTCTCAGTAATTGGTTTCAAAGTAGAAAATAGGATTAGTTGATTCTCTTTTGGTAGTTCTTAATAGGCATGGCCTGCTATGATTCAAATTAAACTAGTGAAACTAGGACTGCAGTGCTTACTCAAATTTATAAAGGCTTTGCTGATGTCAGTTGAAAGCATTGGTAAATTCTGATTTGGCTCTGCTGGTTTTGTACCTGAGTACTGTGGTTTGACCAACTTATTATTCAATTGATTATTTTATGTCAGGTCTCAGCCTCACTTGATGCACTAATGGATGTTGCTGGTGGAAAAATCAATATCCATGTGCTTATGGCTCTTGCAGGCTTTGCTTCGGTTTTCATGGGAAATTCACTGGAAGGTGGCTTGCTTCTGGCAATGTTTAATTTGGCTCATATTGGTACGTGGGCTAGGCTTATTTCGTTGTGGTTCTCCACTTCAAATACGTGGACTGTTGTTGCCTAATATATTTTTATCCACAGCTGAGGAGCACTTCACAAGATGCTCCAAGGTTGATGTAAAGGAATTAAAAGAAAACCATCCAGACTTTGCTCTTCTGCTGGATGTGAATAATGAGAGCTCACCTAGTTTCTCTGACTTGAGATATCAAAAGGTCCCTGTCAGTGACTTGAAGGTTGGCTCATTTATATTGGTCCAAGCTGGTGAGGTATGTATGTGCCTGCCTTCTAGAACTGATTTAATAGTATATGTGAATATATCTGGTCTCCATAGTCTCCAAATATTTCTATTTGTACTATTGGATATGAAATGCATTTTCTCAGTGATTACCATAGTCATAATACGTATTCACTGTTACTTTAATCAGTCTGTGCCGGTGGATTGTGAAGTTTTTCAAGGTAGATCAACCATCACCATTGAACATTTGACTGGAGAAGTTAAACCGTTAGCAAAAAATGTCGGGGATAGTATTCCTGGGGGTGCAAGAAACCTGGATGGTATGTTGATAGTGAAGGTATGTGAGTTTGATTTTGTTATTTTAACATATTCTTGAGATATAAATTTTTCAGTAATAAATGGAATAAGAGCACATTGATCCTATATTCCTATTTATTTTAATTTGTTTATTATCTTTTTTAAAAACTGAATTTGCAAATAAGGCCAAGAAGACATGGAAAGAGTCGATGCTGAGCCGCATTGTCCAGTTGACTGAAGAAGCACAGCTAAGTAAACCGAAACTCCAAAGGTGGCTGGATAAATTTGGGGAGCAGTACAGCAAGGCCGTGGTACTTTTATCCATTGCAGTTGCTTTGGTTGGGCCGTTTGTTTTCAAGTGGCCTTTCATTAGTACCTCAAGTACTTCAATTGCCTTCTTTTTAGAGCAATATTTTCCTTTATTAAATAACAGTAGCAATAATATGCAAGTTGATGTCTGTTTGAAATTTACTGTTCATTGTTGGTGATTAGTCTGAGTCTCTAATCACTAGCAAATTGAAGTTTGGGGGTAGATCTCGAGTCTATGTGAGAACTAGTACCACTAATGGTCATTTGTTTGCTTAGTCTGATTGGGAAATAATGGTTATTGCAACTGTATTTATCATATGGTTTTTGCTTAATTTTTTTTTTTTTTTTGTAATTTTAAAAAATCAATCTGAGATTATCTTGTTGATTGGTGTAGCTTGTACTGGATCGATTTATAGAGCACTGGGGCTTATGGTAGCTGCATCACCATGTGCATTAGCCGCAGCACCATTGGCGTATGTGACAGCTATTAGTGCCTGTGCAAGAAAGGTACTTTTAAGTTTTAACTTTGCATACTTGTTTTATGTTTTATTGCTCTCGAGCGGTACCCATAACAGCAGACCCTAACATTGGGTTATTCTAAGCAAATACCTCAAATGGCCTGATACTTAGTTAATGCTCAAATGGATTCTCTTTGTAGGGAATATTACTTAAAGGTGGGCAAGTCCTTGATGCTCTAGCTTCTTGCCACACTATTGCATTTGACAAAACTGGCACCTTGACAACTGGAGAGTTCATGTGCAAAGCAATTGAGCCAATCCATGGACATGTCAGTGGTGATAGAAAAGAGTTTGCTTCTTGTTGTAATCCCACTTGTGAAAAAGAAGCCCTTGCTGTTGCTGCTGCCATGGAAAAGGGTACTACTCACCCGATTGGAAGGTTATTTAAATTGCGTTTATATGCATTGTCCTTTATTGCTGTGATTGCTGAACGCTGATGATGATAAATATTGGTTTCAAATGCATCTATAATTTTTCAAGGGGATGGTAAACTTATTTAGTTCACAACACATTTTAAATCAATACATACTGAAATAAGTAATCTTTCTAACAAAGTACATTCTGCAATACAATGATCCAGGATATGCATACATTTTTCTGCTTTTGAAATTAATCATACTCCCATCAAATCAAATGTCTACGTATTTTACAACGAAAATTTAGAATCTTCCGTGTAGACATAAAAGTTGATTTTAAAAGATTTTTCCAGTTTTAAGCATTGTACTTCTATGTGATGCTGTATTCATTGTTTATGCAGAGCTGTTATAGATCATAGTGCAGGGAAAGATCTTCCTCCAATTTCTGTTGAAAGTTTTGAGAATCTACCCGGTAGAGGCATTGTTGCAACATTATCTAGCATTGAGGTACTGTGCTCATATTATATCATAGTCGAATGTAACTTATCCCAAAGCTAAGCTGCATAGCCACTGATCTAGTCCCAAGTTGCATACCAAAGTACTCCTGTAGTGAAAAAAAATGAAAATCCTTAAATGGACTGGATAGTATCAGGAAAAATTATTGGCAACGGTACAAGATAAACTGAGATTCAGGACAGAGAGCCTATTTGTGCATTGATGCATTTAATTTCTTTTGCTTTTGTTATCAGATGTACAACTGATATTGCTTAGATATTTCTGGATGTGATACGACACACTTGATTGAAAACTGTAATGGCTTGTGTGCCGAGGAATTCAATTTCTACATAATTGCATTCAAAGTAACAGCATCTTCATTTTAAATCTGTTGTAGGCAGGAATTGGAGGTGGCCAACCATTGAGAGCTTCACTTGGTTCTGTTGAATATATCACGTCACTTTATGAGCGTGGAGATGAATTGAGAAAGATTCAGGAGGCTGTGCGCACTTCTTCATATGGAAAAGATTTTGTTCATGCTGCACTTTCTATTAATGACAAAAAGGTGATAGCTTTTTCTCTATATACAAAAATGATTATGATGGTTTTCTTATAAAACTATTTTTGAAAATGTAATAAAACGGTATTTTCCAAAAAAAAAAACCAACGCGAAGAAGTGAACAATCACATTGCACAACTACTACTACTATTTCTTGCAAATTATGTTTGTAACCACATCTCCTAAACCCTTCTTGCATTTTCTCCATTCATAGATGCTAAACACAGAGATTGCTTAGAACAAAATCTGATTTTTGTATACAGGTCACTCTTTTTCACTTTGAAGATAAACCTCGACATGGAGTTTCAGATGTTATACGCACAATACAAGATGACCAAAAACTCCGTGTAATGATGTTAACCGGTGACCATGAGGCAAGTGCATTGAGAGTTGCAAAAGCTGTGGGTATCAAAGAAGTTCACTGCAGCCTTAAGCCTGAAGACAAGCTGTATCATGTGACAAGCATTTCAAGGGATAAAGGTGAATGTGTATCCTTACATACCAAACGTGAAATGCATACTGAATATTAATGTCGAATCATTAATTCTTAACCTTTCATTCAGGGGGGCTTATAATGGTTGGTGATGGCATCAATGATGCCCCTGCACTTGCTGCTGCTACTGTAGGCATAGTACTAGCTGAACGTGCGAGTGCAGCTGCTATAGCTGTTGCAGACATCCTACTGCTGCAAGACAATATTTCTGGTGTCCCATTCTGTGTAGCCAAAGCTCGACAAACGACATCACTGGTATAATCTATTTCTATTGATTATATAATTTATAAAGACAGCTGTTGCATATTCATTCCTGATCAGTACTAATTGTACTCTATTTCCAGATCAAACAAAATGTGGCTCTTGCCTTGTCTAGCATTGCTGTTGCCTCTCTTACATCAGTTTTGGGATTTCTCCCCCTATGGTTAACAGTAAGATTCTCTTTCTAAATGCATTTTTTGTCACCATCAGCCACCAAATACTGAAAAGATTATAAACTCTGAATTAGGCTTTAGGGTACTATATATGAAACCATCATGACATCAAACTGGTTTTCCTCTTTTCTGCCAGTTTTACTCTTCTTCCATATATGAAACCATCATGACATCAAGGTCCTCTCTGGTGAAAATGCAGGTGCTTTTACACGAAGGAGGCACGCTTCTTGTCTGTTTGAACTCCATTCGGGCTCTCAACGACCCCACAGGATCCTGGCAGGACAGTATCATACAACTCGTGAACAGATTAAGATCAGTAATCATGGTTCTAAGGAGGCATGGCAACAACAGCCAAAGCACAATTGAAGCAGCAGCACCTTTATGATTATTCTTGGGCTCGAATTTGACAGCAGAGGGGAGAGTCGATTCAACCCAGGCCTCAACGTAAGTTCCTATAATTTGTATTCTCCTCAAACAGAAAGAGACATTTGTTTAAGGAGTGATCTACCCGTATATAGACGATGACAAATGTCATCACCACAAGCAGCCTGTTACTTCAACATGGCTTATCATCATCATCATCATTACGCTAACTAGGCATAAAGTCAAAAACCTCATCATTTTGGTTTTAGTTCAATTATATTCAACCCAACAGCCGTCCACCTCATCTCTTCTCATATTTGATATACAGGCATCATCCCTAGGTCGTTGTGAGTTTTGACACGGAACTGCCAATAAAAACAAACATCAAGAATATTATTATTCAGAATTAGTGTGTTAGCAGGATGTTGCAATGAACGGTTCAACGTTCATAGGGAGTTAATACGTTACATCAAAAGACACGAGGACAAGAAGCCAGGATAAGCATCGATTAGGTGGTAGTGGTCATAGGAAACTCGTGTAGCATTTTCAAATGTACCCGATTTAAAACCTACCCACCAAAGCTTTGTTTTACTCCAATGTCGTTTCTGAATATAAAGTTAAAACAATCAATTTTTAGCAACAATTCTTGTAAAAAGAAACAACATTTTTTTTTTGTGTGTGAAGAAAATTTGCAGTTATTATCCAAAAAAAAAATGTGTATTTATTGAATAATGACACACAAAAATTTGCAGTCATTATTTGAAAGTATACTGAATAATGAGATTTTCGTTGAGTGTACTGGGTATGGGATTTTCTTCTCCAACTGCATTTAATCAGACTGCCTCAGTAGAACCGATTCCATATCAGAATATATTTTACATGGTCCTTTTCTGTATCATATTCATTTAGCACTTGTTTGGCAATAAACTTGGAAGTAAAACCATAAATTAAAAAATACCGGACAATGAAATGAAGTTGAATATGATCGAAATAATATTATATATATATATATATATATATTTTTTTTTTCCATTTTGGGTGGTTTTTGTTTGGGTAAAACATTGTTTCATTTCAAGTTCTTAGTTTACTATATCCGGCAAGGAAGGATTAAAGTTTTTATCATTCTTCTTTGACTTGTCCCTTCCATCGAAATTCTTCCTCGTTGGAACTCAAACTCATCAGATATTTCCTTCTTTTCTACTTTTTTTTTTTTTTTTTTTGGTTTCTCTGTACAAAGCCCAAAATTATTTGTTCTGGTCATTCCAGGGTCCATAGCTAAATTCAAAGCTGCCTAAACCCGAGAAAATGAAACAAAGATGGTTTCTTTTCTCAAATCCCATTCTTGATTCTGGCTCCTCTTCCCTTCTCTACTCTAATCGGTTAACTCCGACGCGATTCACGGTCGCCGCCGCTGCAGCTGCCGCTGCATATCTCAATCCGTGATTGCTGGTGGCTGGCTGCATGCACATCCCGCGCCCAATCCCATTCTGCAATTGCTGTTGCTGTTGAAACTGAAACTGCTGTTGTTGTTGTTGGTGGTGTTGGTGATAACGCTGCTGCTGCGGCGGCGATGGTGGTTGTTGTTGTTGTTCGACGCCCATCATGTAGTTCCGCACCTCCGTCTTTATCATGTCCTGCATCACCGCCAGTAGCTCCTGGCTGAACGGGAGAAAAACTCGGTCTTGCTGAGCCGGCACCGCCTCCTTTGGCGGTATTGGACAAGCCATCGGCGGTGGCGCGCCTCCTCCAAGATCGAATTTTTCGAGTGGCTGTTGAAACGGCACCGGCAGGGGAAGGGGTGGGGGAGGGGGAGGGGGAGGTGTATGCATAGCGGAAGAGAATAACTGAATCGGGCTTATGGGTTGAGTTGACTCGGTCAATCTAGGGGAGACATCGGACGAGGAGTCAACTCCTGGGAGAGAGAGGCTGAGCGAAGTAGGAGGGTCGTTCAGTGGCGGTGGCGGAGGTGTCTCTACCGGTGGTGGCAGAACTCCACCTGTTCTTGCTATCGGTTTAAACACATGAGACGGGGACATAACCGGCAAACTCGATTCGCTAACATCCGACCCGGAAGGACTCCCCGGATTGAGATGCAGCGTAACCGCGGCGCCGGCACTCACCGATCTTTTGAGCGGCTGGTGTTGAAGCCTATCGGCGAGATCATTCCCTTCATCGGCGCTCATGGACGAGCACTTCCTCTTCAAGGTAGAGTTCCAGTGGTTCTTAATGGCGTTGTCGGTCCGCCCAGCCAACAACCTAGCTATGGTCGCCCACTTGTTCCCAAACCTGGCATGCGCCCGGATTATAGTATCATCCTCCTCCGGCGTAAACGCCCGGTGCTCCACCTGCGGCGACAGCTGATTGCACCACCGCAACCGGCACGACTTCCCCGATCTCCCCGGAATCGATTTGCTGATCAGCGACCAGTTCCGCGGCCCATGCTTCTGCACCAGCTGCTGTAAAAGCTCATCTTCCTCAGGACTCCATGGCCCCTTCACCCGATCCATATCCTTCCGACTAATACTCGCCATTTCTAAAACATCTAAATAATATATCAACCTTTCTCTTTCTCTCTCTATAATTTTTTCTTTCTTCGCTTAATATAATGACCGGACCGGACCGGAATAAATAGAGACCTAAAGAAGGAGCTTCTTCAGGTAAAGAAATGAAGCGGAGATGGGTTTATATACACAGAGGCGGAGTGGTGGGTGACCGGTAAAGCAGGTTGGAAAATATGGGCAGCGGTGCGTTGTGGGTGGCTAAAGCGGTTAAAAATTTTGGGTAAAGGCGAAATGGAATACAGCTGGCAAACGGACACGCGTCACATCCCAACCCTGCACTGATTTACACATACTCTCTGTCATTCACTCTTCCCCCTTTCTTTATACAATTATATACCACCCCTCCCTCCCATCCGCGTGTACCTCACTCTCCCTATTAACCTTACTTGTAAATTCATTCAATAAATTAATTAATTAAAATTAAAATTGGGGGGATATAAATTCCTACCAGTAATAACTACAACTACTTTATTTAATTCCGATGCTGAGACAGAGCGTGACTATTTTGGGAGTTATTGACTTTCTCACCCAACTACACACTACCCTTATTACAGTTGAGTTTCAAACCGGTGTACAAAAAAAAAAAAAATTAACTTATAAAATTCAATTTCCGTTACAATAATATTTGATAAAATAATAATATTAAGATAACGGAAATCGTGACGCTTTTGGTACAGCAAGAAGCAATAAATAGGAGAGAGAGAGCGTAACGGTTGGTTGGTTGGGTGATGGAAGAAACGTCTGAGAAACAACGGAAGAGGCGATCAAGTTTGACCGGAGGAGGGTATAGAAAGAAAGAAAAAGAGGGCCAGGCTGGAGAGCATTTTACTTTTCCGGAGAGAAAGGGATATTTATCTCTTTTGTTTTTAAAAATTAAAAATTAAAAATAAAAAAAAAATGGAGTGTGTTGAGTTGTTGGGAAGAGAAAAGGAAAAAAGGAAAATGAGAGAAACCTAAACCAAACCTAAACCAAACGGCCGCGCACGGAAGAGATGAGGTGGCGCAAAACGACAAGATTGGTCGCCGAATCGGAAGGCGAATCATTACTGCAATCCTGTCAGTCCAGCCTGTCATCTTTTCTTTTTTCAAATCCAATATCTCACAACACTCCAACGCCCTATCTTTATTTATTATTTATTATCTAAAATCTAAAATCTAAAATTCAAAACCAAAAAATAAATAAATAAATAAATAAATAAAAATCCGGTTAGTCCATCGCCTTTCTCCCCGAAAACCTGCACGAAACCGTCCTTTCCTTTTAAAGCTTTTACCTGTACGGACTTGCCATCCACTGCCACGCTTCCCTAATCTCAGGCGTCCCTCTTTCCTCCTACCTTCCTATATTCATTAATTAATCTTCCATTATTCATCGCTCTTGCTCTTACATTTCTTATCTCTTACGGACTATTTACTAATACAACTCGGCCCCTAAAAGGGTTTCCCTTTTAATTAAACTATATCCCTCCTCTTTCATTAGAGTTTTTTCTACTTTTGGTCTCACGATTATGGTGTGACTAATAACTTTGATTCACGAATTTCAAAATTTGTAGAATTGATCTCAACTATTATTTTCTTAGCAAATTCGATCCTTCCGGTGCATTCTCCGTTCAATTTTAGCCGGAATCTTTTTTTCACATTTTTAATGTGGATAATATTATCTTTTTCCATCTCACCATAAGTAATAGTGTATTTTACCCTTTCATATTAAAAAAAAAAAAAATTCCTTCTTATATTTAACAATATTACAAAACTGATAACTTAAGATGCATTTGGCGATTTATTTATTTTTCGTAGCGGTCATAATTGAATAAACAACGTGCAATGTTCACTTTCGCATCTCTATCGCCCGTCAGCATGTTCAACATAAAATATAATCAAAGTCGAATATAGTGACTAATTCACTCGCTGAATTATAAGTACCTCTAATTTAGACTGGTTTTTAATTAATATCAAATTTTAAAATTTATTTCCCATTGAGTATTTTATTACTTATATTTATAATGTGTGTTAATTTGTAAGATTTATAGTTTGTTACGTATTAGTACGTATGTGCATTAATTTGTGTGATTTATAATATGTTAGAGTTAATTCCACTACTAGAGATCCCACGTCTTTGGTGACAATTCCAAATTTAGTCTAAGCCATTTAACATCCAAGACTATTATTTTTTAGACACTTAATCCTTCTTATGACTTTTCCTATTTTTAGTAAGGGCATTTTTATCTTTTCTTGTTTTTCTTTTGTTATTTTTAAGGTTTCAATTGGTTTATAACTTTAGGTAACCTCTAATTTTTAGTAACCATATTTTTCAACCGGTTTTAGTAAAGTTTTAAACTAATTAAACCGCTTAAAACCGGAAAAATAACAAAAGAAAAATATGAAGATACAAAAATGCCCTTACTAAAAATAAGAAAAATCAAGAGAAGGACTAAAAGTGGGTCCAAAAAATAATAGTCTGCGATGTTAAATAGCAAAAACGATAGTCTGAGACCAAATTTAGAATTGTCACCAAAAACAATGTACCTCTTGTCGAATTCACTCTTATATGTTATATATATACGTGATAATAATTATTTAAATGGATTTATTAATTAATATAAAATATATTTCATGATTTAGTCATGACAAATATTTTTTTTTTTAAATATGCATTTTATGAGTCATTTAGTTAATGTAGTTTATAAGTTTATTTAATATTTTATTGTATTCAAATTAATTTTAAAATAACTAAATTTGATCTAACTAGAACAAAAAACATTTATGAATATAATAATATCAATAGAGAATTAGAGATGACGTGGTTTATAATATATTTTCTATTCAAACTATTTTATCTAATTGATTGTGTTTCATATTTTATCATGAATATTTTTATAGCATTTTCAAAGTGCTTTAAAATTTCGCCCTCAGTCAATTATATTTATGGCTTCGACCCCTTCAAACAAGACAATAGTTTCTGTATATTCGTAATAAATTTGTTTTTTCTTTTATTTACATTAGGTTTCTTATCTTATACTAAACTAATTCTAAGTCCAAAGAACCTATGTCATTAGGCACTGGAAGAGGTAAAATGTGTTTTTTAAAAAAAATAGTTTTTGTGATTAATTAGACTTGTGTTGGTATTTAAATTTTTTTTTTAAATAGTGATTTGAATTTAGTCATGATTTTAGTCAAAATCTAATATTTATTATTTTGGCTTTAAATGATGAGAAATTTTGCTAATAAAGAATGAAGGCAGGAGGTGTCAAGAGGATAATGAGTAGGAAGAAAACTGGTCGTGGACCAATTCTGCAACCACAACGAGATGGAAAAGACAATATTACCCAAGCTAAAAAGGGGAGAAAATATTCGGCTAAAATTGAACGGAGAATGCACCGGAAAGACCAAATTTGCTAAGAAAATAATAGTCGTGGACCAATTCTGTAAGTTTTGAAATTCGTGGATCAAAGTTGTTAGTGACACCATAGTCGTAGGACCAAAAATGCAAAAAAAAAATTCTCTTTCATTACAACTTGACATTTGTTTGTGAAAAGGAGGGACCAGACGGCCCCAAATTAATAGATCCTTCTAGTGACGACACTATTAGCATCGCGCTCTAAGATATCTCTCACACCATCAGGAGGGTGAACCAGCACCGAAGTCCCCCAATGGCTATCTTGCCCCAAGTTGGCTAGGTAGTCTACACATTGATTCCCTTCACGTAACACATGAATGAGCTCACACTCTTGGAATTGTTCCATAACAGCCTTGCAGTCCATAATCAATGTTTCTTCCGGTCTAGACTCCATCTCTTTATTTAAGGCTTGAACCATGGCTTCTGAATCAGCTTCCGCGACAATATTCCCGAGTCCACGATTTTGGCGATGAGAAACCCCTCCCAAATACCCCAAAGTTCCACGATAAAGCTACTTGTAACGTTGATTTTGGTGGTGAACCCCACAACCCATGTGTCGTTATGATCACGAAGGACACCACCCGCACTAGTCATGCCCGAATTGGCTTTTCTGTCGCCACCAGTATTCAGTTTGAAGTACCCCAGGTGAGATGGAGACTAGTAGACCCAAATTCTGTTTCCCAACCCAATAGGACCATAGCGCCTAAGGATAAAAATGTTTGGCTTCGTCGGTTCCCTTCGTAGCACGCATCACAATATCCCTCGCCAGAATCGCCTCATGGTTGAAGACAAAGTCATTCCGAGCTTTCCAAATACTCCAGAACATGTGAGGAAAAAACAGCTTCCATATATCATTGCTAGGAAAAGACGTCAAACCCATGTAGCTCTCTTTGACCCAAAGAACCAGCGGAGTGTGAGTTGTTGAACTAAACCCAGTCGGCGCACAATAGAGGTTCCAGCAGGTCACCACCTCGTCGCACCTTCGAAATAAGTGGTCAAGGGTCTCCTCCTCCTCACCGCATCTCGGACAGACTCCATGGACGACTCACCTCGCTTCTGCCTTTCTGAGTTGACAAGTAGGCCATTGTTGATGATATTCAAAAGAAAGAGTAACTTTTTCAACGCACTTAATCTTCCATGCCCAGTCCTGGTTAGAATCTTCCACCATATGCCCCGCAATCAAAGATAAAGCGGATTTAACGGTAAAAAGGTCCGTACCTGAGTGAGGCCACGAAAGTGAAACCTCTTGGGCATTGTTGAAGCTGATAGGAAACGCCCGGATGAGGTTAAGGATGTTGCTGGAGAAGTTCCCTTCAAGGGCATTAATGTTCCAGACCCTATCTTTAGAAATGTGGTGGCTAACTTTCATTTGATCAGCATTTGAAGGGATCTCCATATTAGGAAGAGCAGCTAAGGCCATATGTAACGCCCCACTTTTCTTAAACTTATTTAAAAGACTTAACCTTGAAAGGTAAGCTAAGGCAGCGGAATAAACTTACTAAACAACTTAATAGAGGTGTCACCGCCACAATCACCCTTCACGGTGATTGCACAGGCTAAGGATAAACAAACTAAATCATTAAAAGTTTACTGGCATCAATCAAACTAGGGGATAAACCCCGGTGTCCAGCACCATCTGTAACACCCCGTGTTACGACCTTCAAATCCGAATTGATTATTGAATTAATCCCGTTAACAAATGGTTAAAA